ATCAATATCATTTATATTTAATTGATTATTTAAATATAATGTAATAGCCTTTCTAATAAAAAGCTGTCCTGGATAGTCTGCTATTACAGGTATTACATTTTTTTTTATATATTCTGAAAAACTATTCCAGACTCCCTTCAAGAATTCACTATCATTCATCGGGATAATGGTAAAATAATTGAATTAATGCAGAATGTAGTTATAAAGCGTTATAAATCAGCAGAATTAGTGGGACATATTGTGAACTTGTATGATAAAATGAAATCTCATCATATTTCTTTTATTGATTCTTTGATTAAAGTTAAAATTGAAGAACAATCAGTCCCATTTGTTATTCTATCACCCAAAGGTATACATTATAAACCACAATCAGAGAAACAACTAGTTATGGCATTGCATTGTGCATTGACTGCAGTTGAGGTATTTTTTTTTGTTTAATACTTTATTATCTTAGAAGCACAATATTTTTTAAGTAAATTTTTATTTATTTTAAGGCATTTCATGGATTGAATATCATGCATAGAGATATTCGCTGGGAGAATCTAATGAAGTATGCTGATAAGGACAGATGGTTTATAATTGACTTTGATGAGGCATGTGATTCTCCTTCAAGTGTTCCTTATATGCAACTAGATAGGAGAAGCCATGCACCTGAAATTTTTAGTGGGAATCATGACAAAAGTGTTGATATTTGGTCTATTGGACACCTGATATTAGAAACTTCTATAAAATCAGAACTATTAACTGAATATGCAGAAAGAAGTTTGATGTTAAAGGATTCTAAAAAGAGACCAACAGCTAAAGAGGCTTTAGAATGGCTATGTAACAGATATAAAGATATTCTGCAAACAGAATTTTTGATTAGCAAATATTAAATGCACACATATAATAACTCTCCTAGTTTTATCAATAAGTTACTATGGTTATAATAGAATTTTGCTTTTTTTTTTTTTTTCCTTTTGAGAATAGAGAGAAAAACTTGTTAGTTAAAAATTTTTTTTTCAAAAATGCAGTTTACATAAATATATGTAAGTTTCAAAGGAAATTTCACAGTAAACAAAAAATAACCAAGTTAGCATATGACCATTTTTTTTATTAAACATATTACTGAATGTTCATGATTCTTTGAAATCTCACTTTCCCATTAAGTAAATTTACCAAATAATTTTCTTAATTAACAAATATAGTAACAAAAATTAATTTCCAAATCAAATACTTTGTGTATGTATATGAATTTTGTATAAAAAGATGAGCTTTCCAAACTGATAAAAAGTAACTTGTATTAATAAATTAACACTACTTACTACTTGTCTCTTATATTTGATGTAAAGAAAAATGGTTTCCCTTACAATCCATCTTTTCAATTTTAAAAAACTTACAAATTGAACATAAAATTATATATATAGGGATAAGTGTATATGAAAAGTAATAAATATAATTGTTCTAATGAATATGAAAAGGCAATTGATTTTTTAGAAAAAGGTTGTGATTGTGGTTGTTCTTCAATAATTCCTAAGGAGGGATTTGCAGAATTAAGGGAATCCTTTCAAGCTCTTTCTAAGTCTGAACAAGACATATTTTTAATGGCTCAACTTAAAG